CCCCAAACTTAATCAACATTGATTAAAGCAATCACAAGCACATCTCAACAATACAAATCGTCTCAAAACCAACTCACCACAATAAGTCACAAAAATATCAACCATCATGCCATCGTCCCCAAAATAAAAACATCTTAAGAATTTAACCAAATAAAATCAACTCAAGCAATTTAAAGTAGCACAATAAATCCAAACAGACTCTCATATCATCATCGCAAAATTTCACGTATGCAATCTCATGCTCAAACACAAGCAAATAACATGCAATAATCTAAGAACTCAAATTCTAAGGGGCAAAAAATATAATCACGTAATAGACATGAACGCTCACCAAGAAACCACCTCCCCAAACTTAGAGCTTGCATATATCATTGACACTCAAATAAACACAAAAGCACAAAAATGGAGGTAAAAGAAACGAGTTCACCTTAGTCAATGTAGAAGAAGTCACCGAACCATGCACACCATTGGGTTGCCTCCCAACAAGCGCCTCTTTTTATTGTCATTGGCTCGACTTATTACTCCTTTTCATCAAATGGTCCAAGGTGGCTTCCGAGGTGGCCTCAAGGGAGCCACAAATCTCACCACACAATGCATGACGAATTCCCCACTCTCCGATGTTGGATGTTTCACCGGATCTTTTCTCCATGGAGCTGGTCCCTCAAAAATATGTAGCAGCCCGTGCTCAATCACATCCATTGTCTCATTAAACTCTCACTCACACCTTACGTTTGGCTCGATGGTCACAAGAGGCTGGATATTAAGGCTCAAGACATGCTTTAGTGCATCTCTACTCAGCACCCATTTCATATTGGAAGGGATAAGACATGGTTCAGCTTCTATCGGCACAAGAGAATAGAGAACGGTACGCTTTTTGGCTCCAGCAGGTCGAGTACTGGGTCCAGTAAGTCGAGTACGGGGTACCCCAGTACTCTGCTGCTTCGACTCTGCTTTCTCTATAGTCGTGAATTTTTCGTTCTCCGGCTCGTATGTGCACTCTTCAGGTTCCTCGAGATCCTCACAGCACGAATGGGTGACGCTCGAACTCATTGGACTCGTTTCAGGCCGATACACTAGTCGGTCCATTTGTTCCACCAATTGGCTCATATGAACTTGTAAATTCCTTATGCGCAGTCCATGGTTCTCGATGCTCTCCTCTTGGTTCTTGATGCTCA